TGGAGAAAGACGATCGATCGGCTCCAAAGAGGTTCTGGCAAACTGTCCGGCGCCTCAGGAGAGGAAGGCAGCAACTCGCTCACACTGTTTACAGTGGGGATGGGGAGCTGCTGACGTCAACTGAGGCTATAGTCGGACGGTGGAAGGAATACTTTGAGGAGCTCCTCAATCCCACCAATGCGCATTCCGAGGAGGAACCAGAGCTGGGAGGCCTGGGGATGGACTGTCCGATCTCGGGGGCAGAAGTTGCTGAGGTAGTCAAACAACTACACAGCGGCGGAGCCCCGGGGGCGGATGAGGTTCGTCCTGGGTATCTCAAGGCTATGGATGTTGTAGGGCTGTCATGGTTGACACGTCTCTACAACATTGCGTGGTCATCGGGGGCAGTTCCTAGGGAGTGGCAGACCGGGGTGGTGGTCCCCATCTTTAAGAAGGGTGACCTGAGGGTGTGTTCCAACTATAGGGGGATCACACTCCTCAGCCTCCCTGGAAAGGTCTACGCCAAGGTACTGGAGAGGAGGGTCCGATCGATAGTTGAATCTCAGATAGAGGAGGAGCAATGTGGTTTTCGTCCTGGCCATGGAACTGTGGACCAGCTCTATACCCTTGCAAGGGTGATGGAGGGGGCATGGGAGTTTGCCCAACCAATCCACATGTGCTTTGTGGATTTGGAGAAGGCTTATGACCGTGTCCCCAGGGGCACCCTGTGGGGGACGCTCCAGGAGTATGGGGTGGGTGGCTTTCTGTTAAGGGCCATTCAGTCCCTTTACCAGAGGAGCGTGAGTTTGGTCCGCATAGCCGGTAGTAAGTCGGACCTGTTCCCAGTGAGGGTTGGACTCCGCCAGGGCTGCCCTTTGTCACCGGTTCTGTTCATCACTTTTATGGACAGAATTTCTAGACGCAGCCGTGGTGTGGAGTGTGTCGAGTTTGGTGGCAGGAGAATCTCGTCTCTGCTTTTTGCGGATGATGTGGTCCTCCTAGCTTCATCCAGCTCTGACCTTCAGCTCTTGCTGGGTAGGTTCGCGGCCGAATGTGAAGCGGCTGGGATGAGGATCAGCACCTCCAAATCTGAGACCATGGTTCTCGACCGGAAAAGGGTGGCTTGCCACCTCCGCGTCGGGGGAGAGGTCCTACCTCAAGTGGAGGAGTTTAAGTATCTCGGGGTCTTGTTCACGAGTGAGTGTAGGAGGGATCGGGAGATCGACAGGCGGATTGGTTCGGCGTCTGCAGTGATGCGGACGCTGAGCCGATCTGTCGTGGGGAAGAGGGAGCTGAGCCAGAAAGCCAGGCTCTCGATTTACCGGTCGATCTACGTCCCAATCCTCACCTATGGTCATGAGCTTTGGGTAATGACCGAAAGAACGAGATCGCGGATACAAGCGGCCGAAATGAGTTTCCTCCGTAGGGTGGCCGGGCTCAGCCTTAGAGATAGGGTGAGGAGCTCGGACATTCGGGAGGGACTCAGAGTAGAACCGCTGCTCCTCCGGATCGAAAGGAGCCAGTTGAGGTGGTTTGGGCATCTGGTCAGGATGCCTCCTGGACGCCTACCCGGGGAGGTGTTTCGGGCATGTCCTGCCGGCAGAAGGCCCCCGGGTCGACCCAGGACACGTTGGAGAGGTTACATCTCCAATCTGGTCCGGGAACGCCTTGGGGTCCTGCCGGAGGAGCTGGTGGACAAGGCCGGGGAGAGGACGGCCTGGAGCTCCCTAATTGGGATGCTGCCCCCGCGACCCGGACCCGGATAAGCGGAGGAAGACGAAGACGAAGACGAAGCACTTATTGGTAGCCTGACCAGCCAGCCCCACGCTTCTCTGTGCAGAATTAAACAAGACGAGTCTGGCAGGCCAGGCTAACTTATTGGTTGACCAAGAACAACGAGGAAGTCAGTGAAGAAGTAAACAAACGGTCTTTGGTGGATATTTGTAAAGAAATTCATCTTCCAAGATCGTCAGTTCAATATTTCTCTTTGAGTTCAGGTCATCTAGACGTGACCACTCAGCTAACCACTGTAAGAACTGGTCTCCTAAGATACAGAGGAACTAGTTCAGATGCACAGGAAGAGCAAGAACTGAGTGGTGTTCACCGAGCAGCCAGTTCAGGTTCTTCCTGTGCTGAGAAGACCAAGACAGAAGGTCTTGCTCCAAAAGACACTTTCAAGCTCAACTTAGCTGTCCACATGAACGAGACTGTTTTCTAGACTAATGTTGATGTGGGTATTAGTCTCCTCCAGTTTCACTGGCTGCTAGTCAACTTCAGGGTTCAAGATCCTGGTTCTGGTCTATAGGGCCTTACATGGACAAGCACCATCTTACATTGGTGCTCTTCTTAGTAGGGATGCAACGATACCACTTTTTTCCAAACCGATACGATACAGATACTTGGATCTGAGTACTCGCCGATACCGATTACCAATACCGATACTTCTACAATACAAAAAAAGGCAATGATTTGGAATACAGATTTTATTTTCTTCTCTGCACAGGAAAAGACCGTGAGGTAGATAAAAAGTAAAATATATGAATGGAAATCATCACAAAACTAAAATATTAGGTGAACAGAAATGACAAGTTACAGTGAAGCCATTTTCAAACAACTGCATTGGTATCGGTTAACTTTTACCAATACCGATACTGGTATTTGCATTGTATCGGTGCCGATACCGATACCAGTATCGGTGCATCCCTACTTCTTAGTCCCTACACCTCCAGCAGGTCCCTGAGGTCCAGTGATCAAAGCCTACTTGTTGTGCAGCACCAGACTAAAGACCAAAGGTGACAGATCATCTGCTGCTGTGGCCCCCAGACTCTGGACCTCTCTCCCCCTGAGCCTGAGATCAGTGGACTCAGTGGTCTCCTGTAAAAGCAGCTGAAGACTCACTTGTTCAAGCTGGCTTTTGTATGACCTTCTTCACCTCTCTCTCTTTCTTAACATTTTTTGTTTTAAATCGCAATTGCTTATTCTTGCTCATTTTAAATATATTTTTAAACATTTTATAAATGCTTTTTATATTTTTTGTTTTTGTGAAGCGCCTCGTGATTTTTATCTTGAGAGGCGCTATAGAAATAATATTTTCTTCTTCTTTCTTCTGGAGGCATGAATACAGTTTTAAATGTGATTTTAGTTAAATAAGAGAAACATGATAGAACACATTAGACATGTTTCCATTTTACCACCCTCCTACTTCCTCTCCCTTGTAATATTCCCAAAAGAACAAAAACAAGATTAGGGTTCGTTTCCGGTGTTCAGATAAAGAAGCTAAATGTGTGGTTTACCAGAAATGTATAGGGATGGCGTCGTGCTCTTGGACGCTGCACAAAGGGGATGCAACAATGGAGAAACAAATGTGAGACCTCATCACATCTTTAAAATAAGTTTGTGAACACATGATCAAGAAAAACCAGACCAAATGATTGTTTATTTACTCAACATTAAGACAAACTGAAATCCCTGTTGATCAAAGAGCATGATGAACTCCACACGCTTGCTTTAACAACAGCTTACACTGTAACGATAACTGCTATTTTCCACAGAAAGCAAACGCTGCTTAGCTTTTGTAAATGTAAAAATTCCAGATTAAGAGCAGAAATCGTTTTCAGGCACATTTCTTCCAGATAAATCGACATTTTACAGTGATGCTTTGAGTAAAGCGCTCTTTTGTCACCATTGGGATTACAATATCAAAATGTTATAAAACTATTTATGGGTATTTTATTGCTTTTTTTTTTAATTTGGTGAAAATTTTGTTAAAAAAAAATCCAGGTTGCAGCAACCCGAAAAGGCTGGAGGTTGCAGGCATTTTTATTTGAGCAGCATTAGTAGAGTAAGAACTGAAGATTTCAGGTTTGAACAGTTAAAATGGGATCATTAAAACAAAAGCTACTCCACGTGGTGAGTGTGTGTGTTTTCAAACAGCTTATTTTTTTTACAGCTAACTTCAACTGCAGCAAAAAAACGCAGAAATCTTTCTGCCGCTCAACGACATTCAAAAGCAGGAAAGCGTGCAGACTGCTGAAATCATCCATCACACAGCATCAGACCATCATCTCCACTGATGAAGAGGCAGTTCTCTCAGAAACACACACACACACACACACTTATAAACTGGAATGCAGAGAGACTAAATGATCCCATCTGATCTCACGCAGTGAGGAAACTGCCTGAGCTAAACTGCTGCTGTTGGGTTTTCAGTGTTTGACAAAAAATTTATTTCCAGGGTAAAGATTTTCTTTTAGGGTCGATCAGCTTCAATATAATAAAATATCTCATGTAAAAATAAAAAAGTGGCATTCCTTCTTTAGTCTCTTTTAAATCAAAACCGTATCTTTCTTATTGGTCTACTACAACTCTGCAGCCCTTTCACGAGATTGAGAACGAAAGAGAGCGGACGTGCGGAACAAACGCCAACGGGGAAAAGAGCCCTGCCGGCTCTCCCCCCCCCCCACGTTATTTCTGTCAAGCCAGACAGGATAGCTGAAATGCAACCAGCTAACGCAGACTCGTCCCAGAGTCTTTGATTTCTGAGTTAACTTAAACTTGAGAAAGCGCGTCTGCTAAACGCTTCATCAACGTGTACCGAGGTCAACTCTGGACTGGACCGTCGCACACCTTCGTCTCCTCTGCCAGCCAAGGTGTGACCTGGATAAACATCCTCCGAGGTCCGGATCTGAAAGAGGGTCCTGAGTACGGTGAGGCAGAACACAATAGATAGCGTTCTGATGCAGTTTTTTTAATAAGAACTAAGTTTAATTACAAAACATCATTTTTCACTCAGATTCACCTTTTCTCTCCCTGAAGCAATCTCAGACACCTGCATGCACGCAGTCATAATTACATCATCCTCAATCTTAGCACATCCAACACAAGGTCTATTTGTGCAAGCTTAAAATATCAACTGTTAAAGATTGTCCAACAAGGTTGCCAATGTCGATTGTTTTCTCTCGGAGGGAAACGTGTCTTCACCAGTGACTCGATGCTGGACGTGAAGAAAAGATGATGAAACATGAGACTAAATATAAATTTAATGGATATTTAGTTCACAGAACATCTGCAGCCATTGTGGTTTTCCTGTTGTATCGGTTGTTATTTCTGTGAAGTCAAACTTTATCTAATCAAACAATAATTTAGCATTTGTTTCTATGTTTGTCACTGAAATGTGTTTATTAAGTGTGTCTGACCTCCACTAAGTCGCTACGGCTCTACAGGTGGGATGTATATCAGCTGATCGTGATGAACTTCACCTCATGAGAGGAAAGGGGGGGGGGCTACATTTCTCACTAATTCTGCCCATTTCTTATTTTCTGTAAAATGTGTGCAGGGTTAGTGTTCCAGCCAGCAGCCCTTGTCCATCCACCAGCTCACAGTTTGGCTCTCAGAGGCTTCAGGTATTTGTGGAAGGATTCATGGACCTGAGGAAAACATGGGACAGGTTTTAAGGTGTGTTAATAAACTCTTCAAGGATTACCACGTATACGTTAATGACATAACCAGGTCCTGGAACCCGTGCTACAAAGACAATATCCACTCTTCACGTCACACGATGATGGTTTGTTCACCTCTGTGGCATTAAGAGGCGAGCGACGAGCCCACTCGAACATGTTCTCGTAGACGTTTCCATCAAAGCGTCCCAGAACAGAATTCAGCTTCTTGTCGTGGATGTCAAAGGCGTCCACCAGCGCCACGGCGTTGGGCCTCAGCTGAGACAGGAGCTCTTTGATACGGACGGAAATCTGTAAAACCTGAGGTGCGCTCAGCAGTCCAGCCTGAAAATAGATACCAGAGATGTTCAATTAGGAAAACGAGGTCGTCGAGCACAGGCGCCACCGGTCCCTCCGACCACCACCAGCAGGCAAGGAGGGTGGCAGACGGGGCTCGAACCTGCAACCCTCTGATCATGGAGCAGGCACCTAAAGCTTGGTTTATGCTTGACGCATTCACTTTCCGCGCGGTGATGCGGCTCGCGGATGGAACGCGCTTCACAACTCGCAGCGTTTATGGTTCATGCGGCTCGTCTCTGCGGTGAGCCAATATTCTCCCAAACAGTAGGGGGCAGCATGGAGCTCTACGGCATGCATCCAACACTACACCATAGTAGAAGTAGAAATTACTGTTTACAACATGGCATTTCAGCATTTTTAACAGCGTTCTCGTCTTTTCCGACAGTGCGAGCTATTTCTCTCCAAGAATTATTAACAACATGTTGATCACGGTGATCTCTGAGAGCTGAATCATACAAATGTCTGTATTTACGAACCTCTGCCATACTAGTTCTTGCCGGTCCGCCATGTTTTTCCGCGTCCGTCCGTCCGTCCGCGTGGTTAGAAATTTTCTCAGGTGCGCGTTGCAGAAATTCTGGGCCGCGCGGAGGCGCGGTGGAGGGGCGTGGTGTAGGAGCCAAAAAAGCAGTGTTCTGTGTACGTGCATTTTGACAAGATGTTGATCAGCCCAGCATCCTGTGTACGTGCACTTTTAACATCTTGATTGTCCAGCTGCTGCGTACGTGCTCAACAACATGTTGTTCAGTCCAGCTTATGTAACTTCCAGTAAGTATTGGCTTACTTTGACCATATTGGGTAATAAAACAGCCATCCCATCATTTCCCGAAATCATGAGGGTGGGGGCCAGAAGAGTATAACCGATGCTGCGTGGTGTAGGAGAGAGGGCTTTGCAGCAGGTTTCCAGCCGAGGCATTTAGTTCGAGGCTGAAGGCTGTCCCCATGAAGTGTTGGTGATGTATTGCTGAATTGTACAAATAAAGCCCCACGCTGAGATTGGATAAACTGTCTCTCTCTTGTTTTTGATAAGGAAAAAGAACCACAGTGGTTGTTAAAATGACGCAACTTTTCCGCGCGGAGCCGTGCGGACCTCGCGGACGCGTCAAGCATAAACCAACCTCAACTCCTCTGCCACCATAGCCCAGTCAACACCAGAAACAACATTTTTTTTTGTCGTTGAGATCTAAATTTGCTGAGTCATGGTTTTCAATAAGAAGAGACCACATGTTTTTGACAGGTTTTCATCTTGAAGGATTTACTTACTAGCAGGAAGTCTCCGGAGTTCTCTGCGATCCCATGCATGGCATAGAGAAGAGCCAGGGTGGACAGCACAGAGTGTATCGCTGTGTCCCCGACCTCCCCCAGCTTCTCACTGAAGACCTTCACTACAACGTAGTGACAGTGGGCCTGAAGTCACGACACAAGTCAGTCTTTCTCCACAGTTCTACATGCACACGCACACGGGTGGACTTACATCTGAGGCTCGGACCAGCTCGATGGCGCTACCATTCCAGGCATCCTCCTGACTCTTCCCGCGCTGCAGCTCCTGATGGATGCTCTTGGCTGCCATCTCCACCAGACTAAACACACATGTCGTGCATTAGATAAAACTCACCGGAACTCAAACTGATTGAATGAACGGTTAATTTTTGTTTGGATTGTTCTGATGTCTGAAGCTACCGAGCCACAGTCCGCCTGACACTTTGCGCTCATCGCTGTGGGATTAACCCTCTTATTCCCGTAACCAACTCATTGGATCTCTAACTTTTTTCTTTAGAGCACCCTCTTTTGGTTGAGAGATCGGTACCTCCCTGGGATATAAATTCATTATTCTTCTCGTCTCTGGATTAAAAGATCTTAACACAAAAGCTTCTTCCCTTTCTTGTTTCAAATCACCCTCAATTTTCTGCATCCTTCTGATGTACCCAGAGGCAGATTTAGCTATTTGGGGGCCCAAGGCGAACACAGACAAGGGGCCCCTTACACTAAATTTTCGACTATCTTACCTTTAACTGGATTTGCGAAACTCTACCCTCTTCTGACATGAGTTATTTTCCCTTTTTATTAGTCCTCCTCTTTTTTCCTGTATTTCCCGCCCTTTGAGCGCTTTCAATATTTGCTCTGGTTTCTTTTTTTTTTCTTTTTCTTTTTCCCTCTTATGACCATAATTATAACAGGGCTGCCTGGTATTTTTTTAATCTTATGGCTGTAAAATTGTAATAAAAAGTGCAAAGTGTGTGTAACACTCTCCTTTTTTCAGAACAACCTCCGCTTTCAGTGTATGGTTTGTATTTAGAATTCATTTCTATTAAAGCTTTTAAAAAATCAGCTTAAAAGTGAAAAAAGCAAAAAACGGATTAGAATTTTTTACATTTATTACTGAACAGGAACTTCAAAATTACTGGGCGAACAATGTAAACTTTGAACTGTAATGCATCTATTCTTAAAAAAGTTTGAACCTTGGTATCTTTTTTTAGCTGTTTTAAGACCATTTATTTTTGTAAACTTTCAGACGTTATTATTTGATGTGGTAGGCCTTGAAGCAGTTTCTCTCCAGCTGCAGGCCGAGTCCTGCACACCTCACACTGCTATGGGGTGCTTTTCTTGCACACCGTGCACTGCTATACCAAAAACTTTTGTTTTAGCAAAAATAATTATCTATTGTAAAAAGATAAATAATGCTGGAATGAAGCTGAATCTTACAATTAGCAAATAGTTGAGGGTTGTTCAAATAAAAAAGTAAAGACTGAACAAACATTCATACCCTGGCTCACTGGAGATCTGTCCTTCTTCGTGGTCACTCTCTTCAGATATAAGCCTTCATGGACACCTAATAGATCGTGTTGATTTTCTTTGAGGCATTTCGATAATTTCATGCTGGCTTTTTATGCTAATTAGCTTCCCCGTTCCGTTGTCGGTACAGGATCTGCTCGGGTGCAGGATCGGCTGGGGGTCCTTCGACTGCCGATGACGTCACATTACCGCGAACCTACTCGGCTTTCACGTTTTGGAAAGACATCAGCAGTTTTGTTAATAAATTCTTGTTTGTTAACACCTAAATGTTTTCTTTACAATTGTAATTTGTTAATAAAACACCATATTATCTTTGTTTTATAAAGAACGTGAAACTGCATAAAACCAACATCGGACTGACAAAAATAGAACAGTTATTATATGTGAAGCCATGTCGGTTTGTATTAATGTGGAGTTTGTCTGTATATTTCCTTAGCTGTTATCTAAATACATTCTTTGACTTAAAATATTGCTTGGTGTCTTTCAATAAAGTTCTTATATTTTGCCCCATTTCATCAACATCAAGAGCTTTTGAGGGTCACCGTTTATCATCTGCTTATATTTTACATTTCCTTTAGAAATTCAAACATATTTTCTCCAAATGTGTTGATTTTTGGACTACAACCGCTAAGACTACGACCGCAAATTTGTTCTGATCAATCAAAATCATAACGTGATAACGTCACTTCCGTAAGCTTCATGTTCAGCCAATCAACTACTTTGACGTCATCGGCAGTCGAAGGACCCCGAGCAGATCCTGTACCGACACCGTTATCCGCTTTCACCGCGGCGCGGCGCTCCGTTTCAATCAGGCTGTACAGCAGGATTTTCCCTCGTAGTGATATTTTCCATAACTCTGATTGCTTCATGCTATAGATCGTTGGAAATCTGCTTTTGTGTACTTTTAGGAACCGTTGGAATTTTTTGAATCTGATCAGCCATTCAAAAGTTATAAAACGGAGCATTTTGGATGACAAACTCAGCACGTCTCTGAATCTGTGTTGTGATTCATAGCGCTAAAGACAGGGAATCCCGGTGGCTACCGTAATGTATTGTATACACACGAAAAGCCCCATTTTAAATCTTTTCAGCAATTTTAATATCTTGAACGGTTCAGGAATTATGGTAATGAGAAGCATGTCCAGTCCCGTCTGCGGTGACAGGTTGGTAATAAGAATATTGTGGCATTAACAGAGGGGTGCAGGCGGTCAGGGCTAGGGGGGCCCCCTAAAACAAGGGGGCCCCAGGCAGCCGCCGACCTATGCCTAATGGTAAAACTGCCTCTGGATGTGCCTGAGTTCAGCCATTTTTTCATCTACCTTTAATAATTTCTCGTCTATTTTCTTTAGTTCCTCTGTCATGTTTTCACAGAAATGCATCGTTTCTTGAATTAAAATATTACATCTAGCATTAGCTTTTTCCAATGCAGCCCGTTTTTCATCATTACTTTGTGTTGGGGCGTCCTTCAAACCTAGCTGTGTCACGTTCTGCCCCTGCCCTCCTGACTGTGTTCCTCTCCTGCCTTGATTACCCTTATTGTTCTCACCTGTCCCTCGTTAACCTGCCCATGTTTCCCTAATTAGCCCTCTGTATTTATACCACCTGTTTTGCCCCTGTCCTTTGTCAGATCATTGTTGTTGTTGTTTGTTGGTGTTGTTCCTGTTCATCCCATCCTGCCATTAAACCATTTTTACTTTATCCGAAGCCTGCATTTTTACCTCCTGCTCAGCTCATCCACACATGGTCCGCCGTCTCCACCTCGTTCACCGTGACAAGCTGATTCATTTTACGTAACTGGCTGATCTTCATTTCTCTATCAGTCTCAGCTCTGTTCAGACGTCGCTCAAGATTTTTTGTGTCAAAATAGAGTTTCTTTTAATTTTCTGTAAACACTCAGGTTGTCGTTTTTCTTTCTGAGCGCTGCTATTCGACTGTCATTCTCTAAAACGAGTTTATTTAGAGCAGAAATCTTTTGATGGAGGATTTTCATCATTTTCATTTTTTACCCCAGGCCACTCCCTGGACATGCCCCTGTCTGGTTTGGTTCGCTACAACACAAAGCAACTTCTAAGTTTGACACAGTGCTGTCTCCCGTTACTCTTCAACTTCCTAAAAACGTTTCCCAAGGATTTAATCTAACTAAATAATCCACTTATTTTTTACCCTGTAGCTACCCCCCCCCCCCCACCCCCCACCCCCCAGGGCGTGAATGTGTGTGAATGGATGAATGATACGCTGTCGTGGAAAGCGCTTTGAAGTCCTCTGACTCTGAAAGGCGCTACACAAGAGCGGGTTTCTCTTTTATCATCATTAACCTCCAGTGGCGGTTCTACATGGAATTACTCCCCGGGCGAGGCCCCCTTTGAGCGCCCCCCCCCCAACCGCCCCCACCACCACCACACCGCCCCACCTGCACGAACACACGTTTTCTACAAACAGGCATGTTTTATTAGAACGACTATTGAACATTCATTTTTCTAAGTTGCACATATTTACATTAATTACTATGAAGTTGTCAGAATGTAAAGCAATATACATTATATACTGTATCAAAATATATAGAATCAAATATACAAAAACAACTAAACTAACTAAATATTAAGAATATATGCACATAATATATAATAAATATTCTAAATAGCAAAAATATTTAACACATAACAAACTAAAGATAATCACTACAGCACTGCACTTAGAACAGAAAACACAAACTAAAATTAAAACCTATCCTTGATGCAAAGTCATCAATAATGTCATCATATGAAATCTGCTCCCCTACTGAGTGATTGATACTAATCAGAGCCAGGTGAGTGAGCCGCCCCTGAAACATAGTTGACCTCAGGTATGACTTGATCAAGTTTTGAAAAGCTCCTCTCAGCTTGAGCCACAGTGACTGGCAGAGCAGTCCAAAAGTTGGGGTAGATCTCCAATAGATCTTTATCATGATCCATAATATTTTAGAATTGCCTCTGAAATTGTAATTTAAACTGACATAAAAAAACTGTAGACTACCAAAAATGCCAACTTTTACAGAACAAATCATGTAAAAAATAATCAGTGCAGCCATCTGCAATAAATAAACAGGATAGTTAGTGGTGACTGGGGAGTTTTCTTCTGCTTGTAGAGTTGTTTTATTTATTATTATGTGAACATGATCAACATGTGTTTGTTGTTGTTCAGGCAGGCCACAGGCTGCAGCGAGCATTTAACAAATCCTAGTTTGAATCAGTTAAAAACGATTCAAGGAATTTTTTCGAACCATTTGAATATTCGTTTCAATATTTCAGCCCTATTAGCTCTGTTAGCGATTAGCTGACCAAATTTAACCGTTAAAATCCCAGTTAACTGGTTCAAAAAATTGAAAACATGCATCATGAGAGCGAACATACCTTTATCTTTCTCCTCTTTTTTCTTTTTTTTTTCCTGAATCGGGCACCTGGTGGTTTTAGCCTTTTTATGTTCATCTCTTCTGTTTGGCTCTTGACTCAATAAGTTTCCTTTAGTCAGGACTAAACAATTTGACCTTGATGGGGGGGTGAACACAAAATCGTTTTGTTTTTCCTTTTTTTATTTGGCCATTTCACACAATTCAGAAACAACTGAAAGAATGATAGGCCTGTGTTTATGATATTATGAATGAAATATGGAAGAACATCAAGATGTGATCGACTTTAACCATGTTGATACAGTTGATTCAGCCCCTAGCTCATTTCATTTGGACCCACCCAGAGGTGAATTCTCCCGCCGCACCCCTCCCCTTCCTGTTCTCCATACACACACACACGGTGCACGGAGCGCCTGCAGCTGCAGGGGGCGCCAACTTGCTGTTTCCAATCCAGACACTGTCATATGACAGATAATAGAAAACCTCGGTGCGGCGCAGGTTTCTTTTTTCTTTTTTTTTTACTCAGCGCTTGTGCGCCCCTTTTGTGTCATGAAAAAATGCCGCCCCGGGCAACTGCCCTGTCTGCCCGTGCCTAAAACCGCTACTGTTAACCTCTCAGTTTAACGAGTATTGCCTCTCCACTCTGGACAACATCTGTCCTTTCAGAACCAGATCAGTTCCTGCAGTAAACTCCCAGGCTCAATTACAGCATTTGCAGCCTGTGTATGAAAACACGTCTCCCCGTCCATCTTCTGACACCCGCTAACTCTGTAGTCAGAGATGCGAGGGTTGTCTATTCCCCCAACCTGGTGTCGCAAAGACAAAGTCAGTAAGGTTAGATCTAGCATCTCTCTTTCAGCCTTATCTCTCCCAACCCCAACCCGACCCGTGACCCTAGAAAGTTTAGCTCGTGTTAATTTGCCTGAGCTAGCATGCCCCTTCAACATTTTCCCCTCATCTGTGTTTAAAAATGATACCCCCACTGTGGGATTAACCCTCTTATTCCCGTAACCAACTCATTGGATCTCTAACTTTTTCTTTACAGCACCCTCTTTTGGTTGAGAGATCGGTAACACCCTGGGATATAAATTCATTATTCTTCTGGTCTCTGGATTAAAAGATCTTAACACAAAAGCTTCTTCCCTTTCTTGTTTCAAATCATCCTCAATTTTCTGCATCCTTCTGATGTGCCCGAGTTCAGCCATTTTTTCATCTACCTTTAATAATTTCTCGTCTGTTTTCTTTAGTTCCTCTGTCATGTTTTCACAAAAACGCATCTTTTCCCTGTCTGGTTTGGTTCGCTACAACACAAAGCAACCTCTAAGTTTGACACAGTGCTGTCACCCGTTACTCTTCAACTTCCTAAAACAGTTTCCCAAGGATTTAATCTAACTAAATAATCCATTTATATTTTATCCTGTAGCTATTTTATCCTGTAGCTACCCCCCCCCCCCCCCCCCCCCCCCCCCCCAGGGTGACACCCGCTAACTCTGTAGTCAGAGATGCGAGGGTTGTCTATTCCCCCAACCTGGTGTCGCAGAGACAAGTCAGTAAGGTAAGATCTAGCATCTCTCTTTCAGCCTTATCTCTCCCAACCCCAACCCGACCCGTGACCCTAGAAAGTTTAGCTCGTGTTTATTTGCCTGAGCTAGCATGCCCCTTCAACATTTTCCCCTCATCTGTGTTTAAAAATGATACCCCCACTGTGGGATTAACCCTCTTATTACTGTAACCAACTCATTGTATCTCTAACTTTTTTCTTTAGAGCACCCTCTTTTTGTTTAGAGATCGGTAACACCCTGGGATATAAATTCATCATACTTCTCGTCTGTGGATTAAAAGTTCTTAACACAAAAGCTTCTTCCCTTTGTTGTTTCTAATCATCCTCAATTTTCTGCAGCCTTCTGGATGTGCCTGAGTTCAGCCATTTTTTCATCTACCTTTAATAATTTCTCTTCTATTTCCTTTAGTTCCTCTGTCATGTTTTCACAAAAACGCATCTTTTCCCTGTCTGGTTTGGTTCGCTACAACACAAAGCAACCTCTAAGTTTGACACAGTGCTGTCTCCCGTTACTCTTCAACTTCCTAAAACAGTTTCCCAAGGATTTAATCTAACTAAATAATCCATTTATATTTTATCCTGTAGCTATTTTATCCAGTAGCTACCCCCCCCCCTGCCCCCCATCCCCACCCCCAGGGTGTGAATGTTTGTGAATGGATGAACGATACGCTGTCGTGGAAAGCGCTTTGAAGTCCTCTGACTCTGAAAGGCGCTACACAAGAGCAGGTTTCTCTTTTATCATCATTAACCTCTCAGTTTAACGAGTATTGCCTCTCCACTCTGGACGACATCTGTCCTTTCAGAACCAGATCAGTTCCTGCAGTAAACTCCCAGGCTCAATTACAGCATTTGCAGCCTGTGTATGAAAACACGTCTCCCCATCCATCTTCTGACACCCGCTAACTCTGTAGTCAGAGATGCGAGGGTTGTCTATTCCTCCAACCTGGTGTCGCAGAGACAAGTCAGTAAGGTAAGATCTAGCATCTCTCTTTCAGCCTTATCTCTCCCAACCCCAACCTGACCCGTGACCCTAGAAAGTTTAGCTTGTGTTTATTTGCCTGAGCTAGCATGCCCCTTCAACATTTTCCCCTCATCTGTGTTTAAAAATGATACCCCCACTGTGGGATTAACCCTCTTATTACTGTAACCAACTCATTGTATCTCTAACTTTTCTCTTTACAGGACCCTTTCTTGGTTTAATGGACACTAGCTCCCTGGGATATAAATTCATTATTCTTCTCGTCTCTGGATTAAAAGTTCTTAACACAAAAGCTTCATCCCTTTCTCGTTTCAAATCATCCTCAATTTTCTGCATCCTTCTGATGTGCCTGAGTTCAGCCATTTTTTCATCTACCTTTAATAATTTCTCGTCTGTTTTCTTTAGTTCCTCTGTCAGGTTTTCACAAAAACGCATCTTTTGTTGAATTAAAATATGATATCTAGCATTATCTTTTTCCAATGCAGCCCGTTTTTCATCATTACTTTGTGTTGGGGCGTCCTTCAAAGCTAGCTGGTTCATTTTATGTAACTGAATGATCTTCATTTCTCTATCAATCTCAGCTCTGTTCAGACGTCGCTCAAGATTTTTTGTGTCAAAATCGAGTTTTTCTTTTATTTTTCTGTAAACACTCAGGTCGTCATTTTCCTTTCTGAGCGCTGCTATTCGACTGTCATTCTCTAAAACGAGTTTATTTAGAGCAGAAATCTTTTGATGGAGGATTTTCATTTCTGCATCGTGTTTCAAGTTTCTCTGTCGCATATTTTCTGCATGTTTGGCTTCTCGTTTTTGATACTCAAAAGCAGATTTTTCTCTTAATACTGAAAGTTCATCTTCCAATTTCTGGATTTCTATCTTAGTTTGGCTTATTTTGTTTCTCAACTCACAGTTGTTTTCTTCTATATCGTTCTGCATTGTAAAATCACGTCCGATCGGTCGAGTGCTCTGACCAACAATGACTTGTAGTGTGAAGCGATGTTCTGTGTATGACGTATCAAAGGCAAGCGTATGATCACGTGCTTCTATGAAGCTGTTCTGCTCTTCCTTGCTGACGCCGGCTCAGAGGTTACTAGAGGTCGCAACGTTCTAATTTGCATATTGATGACGCAATCACGTCGTTTACGTGAACATTTGCGCCCGGTCACGTGAATTGAGTATGCGGAAAACGAAAGTGTGATTACTGCACAAATCTTTCGGCAAACGTGTTCTACTGGAAATACGCGGATTAATTGCACGGATTCCCATTTCTGTCAACTGGTTTTTATTCCCTTTATGTCTCATTTGAATATTCAGTGTGTGTTTCGGTGCATATAGGTTATACGGGTTGTACACTGGAGGTAATCATTCAGCTTAGAGCCCTGCACTGGAGCCCGAGCAGATAGCGACTTTACTTTAATATTGACAAACAATCACAAAGGCTTAAATAAATCAATAAAAAGTACTAATACTTAACTACTTACCTATTTTCCTGCAAATCTGACAACGGAGTAGCATGAAATCACAGCCGAATGCGCTTTGCTTCCTTTTTGTGTTGTGCGCATGCGCGCACATGCGCAGGAACGACGGGTAGGATGGTTTACGGGGTAGGAAAATTCCCGGAACATCTGGCTTCGGGCCGACGACTGTGGACACGGGCCGTGCGCCTTTATTTTTAATCGAATTCATAAAAAAAACTGAAACACTTGAACGCAGCAGCACCTGGCTGCTTCTCGCGCACCGGCACCCGTAGATTTCTCCCTCACATTCACACAAAGGGCATCCCCAACTCCCGCCGCAAACATGGAGGACATAAAGAGAAAGATTGCAAAAGGCGAATTAAAGAGCGTGAACAACACGAAGGGAAAAGCGCCCTTCTGGGTCAAGTTTGATATCATCACAAACCTTCAAAATGAGCCAACCGGGTTTGTTCAGTGTGCTTTATGCAAAGCTGTTCTGTCATACGACAGCAAAAAAACAGGCTCATCCCATCTCCGGAGACATCTTCAACGTTCATGCGGCGGCTGCGGATCCGGTACCGGCGGCGGTGACAGACAGCAGAGTGTGAGCGATTTTTTAAGTTTTGCCAAACCACCACCAGAAAGGATGAAGTCGGAGGTCGCAAATAAATGCGTGAACTTCTGTTGCGTGGACATTCGGCCATTTGAAACGGTTGCGGGAGCAGGTTTCAGAGAGTTAGCTCAAGAATTAATAAACGTCGGTGCAACACATGGCCGCATTTCAGCCAATGAAGTTCTCCCCAACCCGACCACAATCTCCCGAAGGTGCAAAATGATGGCCAGTGAAATGAGAGGGGGGACAGTTGAGGAGATAAAACAGGTGATGTCGCTCATAAATATTGGCATGACTACAGATATGTGGACGGATTATTTCCGTAAAATGAGCTACATGGCTATCACGTGTCACTATGTAACACCAACATTTAAACTCAAGCGCAAGCTACTCACCACAACATGCTTCCCAAACCACGCGAGAACAGGAGATCATATCCGAAAAGCGCTTCAGCAGCAGCTGGTCACAGTCCTCGGCCTTGATGCATGCGTTATGAACAACGTTGTCTGGGTAAGCGACCATGACGCAAGCGTGCTGGCTGCTCTCCGTCCATACAGGCACCTGGCTTGTCAAGATCACCTGTACAACACAGTCCTCCGACATGCCCTAAACACCGATGAGCTGGCTGAAGTGGTCCCAGAGGTAGCGGAGACCCTGTTGGCGGTCAAGGCTTTAGTTCGCTACCTGAAACAGTCAGGCCTCGCCTCTCAGCTGCCAACAACCGTCAAACAAATGGCAGAGACTAGATACAACACAGTCTTCCTCACACTGGAGTTAATTCAGTCAGTCCACGCAGAGCTGCAGGAGCTTCTTCAGAGCCGCGACGAGAGCGCACGATTGCGCAATGTCTCCCCAGATGTTCTCGCCTTCCTTGTGGAGTTTCTGCGCCCATTTAACGACGCGCAAAAGGAGCTAGAAGGAGACAAACACCCGACACTTCACCTCGCTGTTCTCTGGGCCAACAAGCTGAAAAGCCACTGCCAGCCGGACGTGGCTGATACTCCCTCCCAGGCTGTCATCCGCCAGCGGCACCTCGACTGGTTAACAAAAACAATCGAAATCCAGCCACTTCATAAAATTGCCATTTTTTTATGGCCAAAGTTCAACCAACTGCGGACGTTTACTCCCGCCGAGAGGACCGACATCCAGCAACACGTGAGAATCCTGATAAACCGCTTCAGAGAGGGGGAGGTTGCTGCAGCGCGTTGGCAGGAGCATACAGGACAATCAGGTATTTTTGTTACTAATGTAGCTAGAAATTGGCCTGAATTAGCCTAATTTTGTTATGATTTTACGCAGATGTTTCAAGCGCAGCAGCTGCTGGTCCTGCGCCAAAGAGGAGAGCGCTGGAAGAGGTTGAGAAGGCGTGGGAAAACGTCAGAGAGGAGAGTGAGGATGCTGATGAAGTCCAGTTCTACCTCAGCCTCAACCCCACCATGGAAGCTGATGGAAGGGATCTTCTGAGCTGGTGGAAGCAACACGAGACCACATTTCCTTTACTGGCACGTCTAGCCCACATGGTCTTCAGTGTCCCGGCCAGCAGAAGCAGCAGCGAGCGCGCTTTTAGCGCAGCTGGAAGAGCGATAGGGGAAAGGAGGACTGGACTTGCCCCTGAAACTGTGGATGCCATTCTTTTCCTGCACGATGCCAAATAAACTGTTCCTCTTGTTGTGTTCAGAAAATGGAGGACTTTTGCCATGTTAAACCGGATATAGGCTGTTCTTAAAGGCTTGTTCTTATCATTTTATTGCCATGTTCATTTATGCCATTAAAAGCTCAGTTAAGGTCTGTGTGGTTTATAAATGCGCCTATATAAACGAATCCTCAAACTGCTGATTGAAACATGTGCCCCTATTCTCATATGCAAGGGCGTAGGAACGGGTTTAATATGGGGGGGGGGGACACATTTTGGAAATCTAACAAATCTGTTGTAGGTCAATATATAGGTCAACCTCACTGGAAAAAAATACATTTAATGATTATTTCTGATTCTAATGTGTCACTGTGTTTCATGCAGGCTGAACATGAACATAGTCTCCTACCGCTATCTCCTGCATTAGCTTCTGATAGACGGTGAAACTCTAGGATTCGAAAAGCCTGACAGACATGGACGTAATTTTGGGGGGGACAGGGGGGTCATGTCCCCCCCACTTTTTCCAAAGTCAAGTTTTGACCCCTGCACTTTTTACCATCCAAAAACAATATTACGCTATATTAAATTGACACTGGTTGAGCTCTAGGACCAAGCGGAAAACAACCGTTTGTGTTGAAGCCTGTTTCCCATTAGAGCATACTGTAAAGACCCCCCCCCCCTCCCCCCCGTGTCCCCCCCACTTCTAAAGTGAAAATTACGTCCATGCTGACAGATGTGACTCAGGGCGTAAGGCAAAGCCCAGAAAGACAAGAAAATAACTTTTATAGCCCAGTTCACTAACATTCTGTTTTTTTTTTTATCGGGGACCCATGAGCCAGCCAGAAGGGGAGGAGACTTAGGCTCCCCATTAGCCAGATGATAACCGACCAACCTGGACATTTTAATTATAAAAAAGCTGTTTATGTGTCAGTACTGTTTTAGTTTTATTTAATAATATGAATGTAGGATATATTATCTTATTCATATGGGTAGAGATGTGTAAACAGATTTAATACAAGGCTAAAGCTGTGAATATTCAGTCTGAATTGATCTGACTCTGATCAGAATATTTTAAACTACATCAGCCAACAATGCTGACCAACAATCAGAAAAGTCTGTTTGCTTCTGACAGAATGAAAAAAGAAATAATTCACTCACAAAAACAGCACATCTGAATGTCGCAGCAGAAATCGAGACTCATCAGACTAGGCAACATTTTTTCAATCTTCTATTATCCAGTTTTGGTGAGCTTGTGTGCATTTTAGCCTCAGTTTCCTGTTCTTAGCTGACAGGAGTGGCACCTGGTATGGTTTTCTGCTGCTGCTGTAATCCATCTGCCTCACGGTTGGACGTGTTGTGCTTTCAGAGAGAGAACGTTAGTTGTAACGAGTGGTTATTTGAGTTACTGCCTTTCTATCAGATTGAACAAGTCTGGCCATTCTCCTCTGACCTCTGGCATCAACAAGGCATTGTCACCCACAGAGCTGCTGCTCACTGGATGTTTACACTTTTTCGGACATTCTCTGTAAACCCTAGAGATGGTTGTGAGTGACAATCCCAGATCAGCAGTTGCCCGTCTGGCACAAACAACCACGCCACGTTCAAAGTCGCTTAAATCACCTTTCTTCGATATTCTGGTTCGGTTTGGACTGCAGCGGGTCGTTTTGACCATGTCTACATGCCTAAATGCTTCACATTGCCACCGTGTGATTGGCCGATTAGTGGTTTGCGTTGATGAGCAGTTGGAGAGGTGGAACCAATAAAGTGGCCAGTGAGTATAGTCTGGCCGTGACCCATAGACACAGCTCAGTCTTGGATTCTATGGTTGTCTTTCAAACTGTCTCTGCACGCTATTGGACAGCAACGTGACATACTCACCACTACGGACGTCAGTCAACAAGACAGTCCTCCATACACTGTCGAAGAAGAGGAGGTACCTCTATCTGCTCTTGCCTTAAAGCCCAGGTCTACCAGCCCAAAGTTGATGTCAAAGCTGTTTCACACGATCTGTCGCCATCTTTGTTTTTTCACTCCATAGCAGCATTCGTGCAGCTCGCGCCCACCAAACCAATAGAGTGCGGGGATTGGCAAGACACAAAACTACTCTGGCCAACAGTAGACTTGCTGAGGCTCCTATGGAGCACGGCTAGACCGACATGCAGAGAAAAATCCTTTTGCTTCTGCTGGTCTGTCTAGATTTTCTCTTTCACAGCAAACACGATGCATAAATGTACACATTTATAAGTCTTTAATAGCTGATGATTTGACTGATGGCACTTATTGGTAGCCTGACCAGCCAGCCCCACGCTTCTCTGTGCAGAATTAAACAAGACGAGTCTGGCAGGCCAGGCTAACTTATTGGTTGACCAAGAACAACGAGGAAGTCAGTGAAGAAGTAAACAAGCGGTCTTTGGTGGATATTTGTAAAGAAATTCATCTTCCAAGATCGTCAGTTAAATATTTCTCTTTGAGTTCAGGTCATCTAGACGTGACCACTCAGCTAAACACTGTAAGAACTGGTCTCCTAAGATACAGAGGAACTAGTTCAGATGCACAGGAAGAGCAAGAACTGAGTGGTGTTCACCGAGCAGCCAGTTCAGGTTCTTCCTGTGCTGAGAAGACCAAGACAGAAGGTCTTGCTCCAAAAGACACTTTCAAGCTCAACTTAGCTGTCCACATGAACGAGACTAATGTTTTCTAGACTAATGTTGATGTGGGTATTAGTCTCCTCCAGTTTCACTGGCTGCTAGTCAACTTCAGGGTTCAAGATCCTGGTTCTGGTCTATAGGGCCTTACATGGACAAGCACCATCTTACATTGGTGCTCTTCTTAGTAGGGATGCAACGATACCACTTTTTTCCAAACCGATACGATACCGGTACTTGGATCTGAGTACTCGCCGATACCGATTACCAATACCGATACTTCTACAATACAAAAAAAGGCAATGATTGGAATACAGATTTTATTTTCTTCTCTGCACAGGAAAAGACTGTGAGGTAGATAAAAAGTAAAATATATGAATGGAAATCATCACAAAACTAAAATATTAAGTGAACAGAAATGACAAGTTACAGTGAAGCCATTTTCAAACAACTGCATTGGTATCGGTTCCTGGTATCGGTTAACTTTTACCAATACCGATACTGGTATTTGCATTGTATCGGTGCCGATACCGATACCAGTATCGGTGCATCCCTATTTCTTAGTCTCTACACCTCCAGCAGGTCCCTGAGGTCCAGTGATCAAAGCCTACAGCTTGTGCAGCACCAGGCTAAAGACCAAAGGTGACAGATCATCTGCTGCTGTGGCCCCCAGACTCTGGACCTCTCTCCCCCTGAGCCTGAGATCAGTGGACTCAGTGGTCTCCTTCAAAAAGCAGCTGAAGACTCACTTGTTCAAGCTGGCTTTTGTATGACCTTCTCCACTACTCTCTCTTTATTCTGCTCTCCCCACCTATTCCACCTTCCTCAGGATCCACTGATTTCCTTCTTTCCTATTCACTCTCTCTCTCTTTCTTAACATTTTTTCTTTTAAATCGCAATTGCTTATTCTTGCTCATTTTAAATATATTTTTAAACATTTTATAAATGCTTTTTTATATTTTTACATTTTTTGTTTTTGTGAAGCGCCTCGTGATTTTTATCTTGAGAGGCGCTATAGAAATGATATTTTCTTCTTCTTTCTTCTGGAGGCATAAATACAGTTTTAAATGTGATTTTAGTTAAATAAGAGAAACATGATAGAACACATTAGACATATTTCCCTTTTACCACCCTCCTACTTCCTCTCCCTTGTAATATTCCCAAAAGAACAAAAACAAGATTAGGGTTCGTTTCCGGTGTTCAGATAAAGAAGCTAAATGTGTGGTTTACCAGAAATGTATAGGGATGGCATCGTGCTCTTGGACGCTGCACAAAGGGGATGCAACAATGGAGAAACAAATGTGAGACCTCATCACATCTTTAAAATAAGTTTGTGAACACATGATCAAGAAAAACCAGACCAAATGATTGTTTATTTACTCAACATTAAGACAAACTGAAATCCCTGTTGATCAAAGAGCATGATGAACTCCACACGCTTGCTTTAACAACAGCTTACACTGTAACGATAACTGCTATTTCCCACAGAAAGCAAACGCTGCTTAGCTTTTGTAAATGTAAAAATTCCAGATTAAGAGCAGAAATCGTTTTCAGGCACATTTCTTCCAGATAAATCAACATTTTACAGAGAAGCTTAGAGTAAAGCGCTCTTTTGTCACCATTGGGATTACAATATCAAAATGTTATAAAACTATTTATGGGTATTTTGTTGCTTTTTTTTTAATTTGGTGAAAATTTTGTTTAAAAAAAAATCCAGGTTGCAGCAACCCGAAAAGGCTGGAGGTTGCAGGCATTTTTATTTGAGCAGCATTAGTAGAGTAAGAACTGAAGATTTCAGGTTTGAACAGTTAAAATGGGATCATTAAAACAAAAGCTACCCCACGTGGTGAGTGTGTGTGTTTTCAAACAGCTTATTTTTTTTACAGCTAACTTCAACTGCAGCAAAAAAAAACACAGAAATCTTTCTGCCGCTCAACGACATTCAAAAGCAGGAAAGCGTGCAGACTGCTGAAATCATCCATCACACAGCATCAGACCATCATCTCCACTGATGAAGAGGCAGTTCTCTCAGAAACACACACACACACACACACACACACACACACACACACACACACACACACACTTATAAACTGGTATGCAGAGAGACTAAATGATCCCATCTGATCTCACGCAGTGAGGAAACTGCCTGAGCTAAACTGCTGCTGTTGGGTTTTCAGTGTTTAACAAAAAATTTATTTCCAGGGTAAAGATTTTCTTTTAGGGTCGATCAGTTTCAATATAATAAAAGTCAAAAGAAGGACTTGACTGTCTGAAATGTGGTACACAGGTACAGTGGGTGTTCCAGAGTAGGGATGCGGTGAAAGTTGTACATCAGCTATGACGGATGTTTTTTTATGAATTTTTGAAAAATGACATAATTCTATTGACTGTATTGGACTGAATATAAGTTTTCTTTAATATCTGAAGATTTCTACAGTAAATCTGTCTGAAATGTGGCACACAGGTACAGTAGGTGTTCCAGAGTAAGGATGTGGTGAAAGTTGTAC